CTGACTATTGTGTCTTCTTCTGTACCAATCTTTATAATTTAGACCACACCAGTTATACATACTGGCACTCTATGGGTCTTGTCATTCCCTGATCAAAGCTTATCTACTTCTTTTTGTCTCTCTCACTCATTCTCTATAGAAAATTTACATAGACGTGGGTTGCTGACTTTCCTTTATCTAGGAATAGTTTTATTTTAGATGTGGAAGAAACTTGAATGAGGGGAGAACTTTCATTAATATGATTCCTCACCTGCACCTTGTCTTATGAGCTCCACTGCTGTGAAAACTAGTCTTTAATTTTTTCCTGTTGTACATTTTTACATAGCCACATAGCATTTTTTTCCCAAGCTCAGCAACAATTACATTGAACTCAGTGAACTACAGAGACATTTAAAAGCCACGGATCACTGTTCTCCAAAGATTTTTCAACAAACTGCTAGAAAGGAAGCAGGCTGCAGTTAATGAGCTTCATAAAATAATAAAAGGGAGATTGTGCCTTCTCTTCCAATGCAAGTATGTTCTTTCCCATTGTTAAAGCTAGTACTTACGTTGCTATTTTTAGACCCTAAAAATAAATGGAACATTTTATGCTGCGCCATGACTGACTGTATCTCATTTTAATTAGATTGTAAGGTCTTTCCTATAGTATACAAATCATAGTCTAAAAGTTCTGACTACTTTTTTTACCACCAATTCAAAAAACAATTAATATTAAACATTTAGTGGGCTGGGGAAAAATATGTTTGAGCCATAGAAAATGAAAGGAAAGGAAATACAAAATAAAAATGATAACTATATTTTTCTAGGGGAAAAAAAGAATTTGAACTTTATGTGTTTAATCATTAAAAGTATATCAAATAGAGTGGACAATGCGAACACACAGAAAGAGACACACTTTCTTTCTTATGTCTGTGTGCGTATGTGTAAGACAGGCCTGGTAGAATCTGTAATTGAAATAGGATATTGAACAGTTGTATAAGCCATAGATAAAAATGTTGCAACCATTTTGGAGGTATTTGAAAATTGGTTGCAAAAGGAGAAAAGTCATCTCATGATCATATAAATACACACATTTTCTAACAATAGATAAAATAAGGTTCAATTGTATACACTGAGGCTTTTTTGTAGTAATATGTGTTATTAAGATTTCAATTGCTATCTCTGAGCATATACATACAGGATGTTCATAAAGGAGAGTGGTATATCTTCCTGGTGCCACACAAATGCATAACATGTTGATTCAGGCCAGGGATAAAAATGTCTTGTGTGGGCTATGTAAAATGTTTTTTTAAAAAAATAAAATCTAGTAATATTGTCATAGCGAGGAAAAATTGCACATAACAAAGATGAGTCTCGGTCTTAAATCCTTTCCTTGTCTTCAGCCAATGTTTTATCAAGAGTAAAAGACACAATTTTTTAAATAATAAATATTTGTCTTTTTAAAGATGAAACAAATCTATATAACAGGGTAAGGTGTACTGAGGAGTTTCTTCATATGATTTCTTTTAATAAGAATCTGAGGTAACAAAGTCTCAAACAGTTCCTAAAGGAGATGAGGCCTAGTTCTAATCATATGTGATCATTAAGAGTTGAATGAAGGATACAAACTATATATTTTAAAAATTCTGATCAGCTGCTTTTGAGCCTAGAAGTATCCTTGTAGATACAGAGCTGGGTACCATAGTGCATGAGATTCAGAACTGTGTCTTCAAATAACTTAATTATTGCTGAGATGTAATGGTTGCCATGCTTTTTTGATAATTGGAAGAATACTCTTGGAACTTTTTACATTAAGTTCACTCACCTGATTGTTCCAACAAGTGGAAGATTGAAATTGAATATCTAGATAATTGAAGATTTTAAACCTTTTTAATAAATCTCTGTTGATCTTCCACCTAATTGGAGAATTGATGCACTTTCTTGAAAATACTACAACTTTTGTTTTACAATAATTAATTTCAAGTAATAATAAACAAGGCTTTAAGACATCAGTCCACATGTGTTACAGATATTTCCATCATTAGTATACAGGAATAGGGATGGGGTGCCCCTTCACTACTCTGATAATCATAATCACAAATATTGGGTATCATATGTAAAATGTGGTAAAAAGTTTTAGCATAGTTAAAAATCAGTCTATGATATGATATGATGTAGCTTTCAGGAATACAGCTGTAGTAGTAGAAGTCTAATGTGTTTATTAAAAAAAATATTAAGTGGAAAATGCCAGGATATGCTCCAAAAACAATAATAAATTAGACAAAAGGAAGGAAGGAAGGAAGGAAGGAAGGAAGGAAGGAAGGAAGGAAGGAAGGAAGGAAGGAAGGAAGGAAGGAAGGAAGGAAGGAAGGAAAAAAATCTAGATGAAGAAAGGTCTACCTTATATATCAAACTTATAATCACTAGTTTACTAAATGTACCATATAGTAGTATAATTATTATTTCATATTTATTACATTACAGTATCACTGTTTAAATGAATTGTGACAGTGATCCCAGCTCTTTTAAATTAATGCTGGCATTCCTTAGAAAGCATCTTTATAATATCTGGGAATTGTATAATACTGGAGAAGATTCAGCAATATAAATTATTATTATTTATTTAAAAAGCAACAAATAACCTGGAAATTATTATCCCTAAGATTTTTCTAAAACATATTTTCTTCAATAAGAATATATACAGTTTTCCCAGATGAATCAAATAGTTCTTTAAATACTGTGGAGAATGGAGAAATGCAACACTTTAAGAATATAATTAAAGCAACATATTAGTTTACTTATTTCTGTCATGCTTCACATGGTCTCCTGCAAGTTCTGCCCTTTAATCAACTCTCTGTTTATGCTATTACTTTTTCCAATACAAAGTGCATTTTAAAGCAAAACTGACAATGCCAAAGTAACTGTGGAATGACACGGCTTTTAAACTGTCTGAAGACCCCACAATCATTGAACTATCTCCCTGAGATAATTTGTGTTGACAAGATTGTTTGGTTGCATTTGTTTCAGCTGGCAGAACAAATTTTGTCTTTGCATTTTCAGAAGCATGCTATAGTGAATCTTGTATGGACCACTGAATGACAAATTCTTAGTGGCCTTTTGATGTTATCTCTTACTACTTCCTTTTTATATTTGTTTCAGATGTATTACAGAGCATGGAATATTTTGGATATACAGTATTTCACATATTCAAAAACTTAAGCAACAGGAGAATTTTCTGAAAAATAATGGCTCCTACTGTTTTTTATTACTAACTTATTAGAACTGTCCTTCCTCCAGTAATAGGTACTGAACTAATGAATGTGGAAGGCACTGGGGGGAAGTGACTATTGTGATGCTCTTGATTTTAGGGAAACTGAAGCTTATCAAATTTATCAAAGAAATGTTTATCAGATTTTCAGATGATACAACATATTATATCCTCTAAGACAGTGATAAAATTTAAAACAAACTTCATGGGTTTTAGAAATAGGCTTAGGGGGAAAAAAATGACAAGAGACAACTGCAAAGTTATGCCCATTGGGAACAGTAATCAAATTTATCTTTACAGACTGGAGAAAATCTAACTTGGAAATACTCCTTTTGGAAAAAAGTTTTAGTTACAAATTGAAGAAGGTGGGTAGAAAGCAAGCAATGATGAGTTTATCTCTTATTTCCAACAGAAACAATGTAGTCCAGATGTGAGGAACAAGAAAAGAAAGTGTTTTTAAGATAATCCACTTTAATTAATTCAACTCTAGCTAGAAATTTACTCTTGATGTTTGCAAGACTATGTTTTTACTGTAGATGTCTTTACCTGACAACTATATGAGCATTTACAAACTTTCTTCTCCTTCAACCAGACTTTGAGTATTGAACCAGAATATTGAATATATGATTGAATATTCAATCAGACTCTTAAATATTGTTTCCAGTTGTGCACACTACATTTTGAAAAAGATTGAGTTGACCTGGAACAGTTATAGTGAAGGCAATGAGGATGATCAAGGGATTAGAAGCAAAGTCTTATTAAGACAGAATGAAAGACTGTGAGAAGAAAAGACTAAGGGAGGGATATGAAAGAAATTCCTGAAAAATATCACCACAAACTGAAAGAATAGTTCAGTACCGTATAATTGGAAGTATGGATATGAATACACTTTACAACAGTTCTTTGGATCTAAATCCCCCCAAAATGCCTCAGAGCACTCTTTTTTTTTTCAAAGATAATTTTTATTAAATTTTTAAAATTTTACAAAAACAAAAACAAAACAATCTCCCCTCCACCTCCCCAACCCTCCCATTCCCACCCGCGATCTTCCCAGAGCTGAATATAGGCTTAATTAAAATTTGACCAAAAAATCTTAAGAAAAAAATATAAACCATAAATGAGTCTAGCATTAGTTAAAAATCTAAATACATTAATTAGAAAAATTATAAAATAAGTAACAATAGTATATATATATGTAAAAAAACAAAAAATAAATGTTTAACAAAGAAAAGAATAGAGGAAGAGAAAAAAAGGGGGAAAGAAGAACAGAAAAAAGAAAAAAAAGAGAAAAAAAAACAAAATATTCCATTTTAAATATAAATTATTAAAAAACTAAATAATATTTTTTTATATCCAACTTATGTTGTATAAAATCTATCCATTTTTTCCATACCGCAACATACTTCTCTTGCGATTGATCCTTCAAGAAAGCCGAAATCTTTGCCATTTCCGCCAGGTAAGAAACTTTGAGAAACCACTCTTGCAAAGTAGGCAAAGATTCCTTCTTCCAACATTGCCCTACTAACAACCTTGCGGCTGTAATTAAATTTAACATCAATGTAATCTCCTTGGTATCACAATCAATAACAATACCTAACAAAAACAATTGTGGGGTAAATTTTACCCTCCTTCTAAAAATTCTTTGAATATTCCACCATATCTTAATCCAAAAGGCTTTTATATTTTTACACGACCACCAGATATGATAATAAGTAGCATCCAGACATCCACATCTCCAACATTTAGGCTGTAAGTCAGGATACATACGAGACATTTTTTGTGGATCAAGGTGCCATCTGTAAAACATTTTGTAAAAATTCTCCCTTAAATTCTGAGCTTGTGTAAATTTAACATTTCTCACCCAAATAGTTTCCCAAGTATCTAATAGAACTGGTTCACCAAAATTTTGTGCCCATTTAATCATATATTCTTTAACTAATTCTGCTTCTGAGTCTAATTCTACTAACAAATTCTCTTAATGTGAGTTCGTCTTTGATCTTTTACTTGTTTAAAAAAATTCTCATCTTCTCTAAGCAAACCCACATTACAATCTACCTTCCATCTATCCACAATTTGTCTGTATTGAAACCATGAATATATAATATTTTCTTGTGCTAGATCTTCCAAAGATTTTAACTGCCAATTTTTACCATCCCATCTAAGTAATTGTGCATAAGAAACACTATCCATCTTAACTCCTCTCCTTATCCCCTCTATCGCATGCCATGGTATGGCCCATAATGGAATTTTAGAATCAGTTCTATAATATTTCCTCCAGACCCGAAGTAAGGAAATCCTTATAATATCAGATTTAAAAACCCTGTCAACCTTTTTATTAAAAATTAAATAGGCATGCCATCCAAAAAGTAAATCCCACCCCTCCAAGAGGAGTATTTCTACATTTGTTAAGTTAATCCAATCACTAATTAATGTTAAAACCACAGCATCATAATACAATTTCAAGTTCGGTACCTTGAGTCCACCTCTCTCACGAGTATCTTGCATAATTTTAAGTTTTACTTTTGGTTTTTTCCCTGCCCAGATAAATTTATTGATACCTTTCTGCCATTCATTTAACTTAACCTCATTCTTTAAAATAGATATCATTTGAAATAAAAAAAGAAACTTTGGCAGAACATTCATTTTAACTCAGAGCACTCTTGAATTTTTAAAATAAATATACTATCTATGAGGCATAGTGAAATTTCTCTACTGTAACTCTTCCATATTAAAGGGGAACCAACACCATTCAGTAATAATTTGAATTTTTTTGGTGGCTAAATTTACCTATGAGGTGGCAGTCTGGATTGAAGGGATTAAAGACAATCATCATTTATTACGCGCTAAGTCCCCTTCATTCATTCTTTGTCTCCAATTATGTCCCAAATAAAGTTTTGTTATTAAAACAGGTTATTTCTTCTTTCTAACTTAGTCTGGTTAACCTATTGATTGGCTTTATGATGAACAAGATTCTTGCACTGAAACAGTTGGAGTAAAGAGAATACAGGAGTTGTAATAACATGCAACTGTCCATAGCTCAGGGGAGGCACGACAGGAAATTACAGCACAATGGGCTTGCTAAATACACTTCTTTCTAAGTGTACTTGATGAACAACAACATTGTAGCAACTTCTGCTTTTTATCTACTTTTGTGCAAATAGCTGTATTTCCTGCATGGGTAAGCAAGTATAAAGGTATGCTGAATAAATCATTTGGGATTCTTCCAGCTTTATGGGAGGACCCACTTTTGTCCAGATCTGAATAAATATGTGACTGGAGAGAAATTCTCTCTATCTCTTTGTTAATCAGATTCCTACTTAACAAACCACTGTTAAATTATGGTATAAATTATATATTTTTAGAACATCTGATAGCCAATTAACATTAGACCCTTTGGAGGATTATATCAATTCCTGGACAATCTTGTTGGCAGATAGGGAACAAAATCTGACATGCTTATTTGGTTTAACTTATTCCTCAGCAATCACTCAAAATGAATAGAGAAATTTAGAGATTACCCACAAAGACCTGCAAGTCAAAAGTATCTTGTTCTGCAGTATATTTTAGAATAAGTTATGAGAAAGTCTTTTCCTTTAACATTACACTGATAATCTCTGAATATTTATATTTATATGCATGATGTTATGGAAAAGAAGGCGTTCACATAGTAATTATGGCATAGAGTCAGTGGTCATATACTCCTCTTTTGTACCTTTTATCTTTGTTTGTGTAATGAATTAATTAATCCCATTTTAACATCTTTTTCCTGGGCACTCAAATCCATTGTATGATAAATATGATCAAATTCCTAAAGGGACACTAACAGTGACAAAGTTTTTAACTGGTATCATCAGGATTTGCAATTTGCTTAATAGAAATATTGAGGGTTATAACTAGGGAAATTTATATTAATTTGGATGTTGTAAAATAACATTATTACTTTATAATTGTCTTTTAATTTCTTTTAAATAAACGGACTAGACTTCTGGGCCATAAATGCATGCTGCATTTTGATTTCTTCACTTTGCCTTCAGGAAATCAGTAAAAATACCTTTATTTTACCACAGAACAAACTTGTAAACTTTAGAGAGCTTATTAATGCATGTTCCACCATTAAATACAAATTATATCTTGTGAGTTAGAGAGAGAGCGAGGGAGAGATTAAAATTAAGCAACTGCCATTTAATTTTAATCAGTGAAGGACTTCAGAGTTAAACAATTAGTTATCATTGCACCCTTCTGCAGTATCAGTGGGAGTGTGTCAAAGATGATGAGTCTCCTATGTTTACAAAAAAGATTCTGTCTACAGCATGCTGGGTGTTTTTGTGAATAATTTATCTTCTTGCTTAAGCCCATCATTGTATGAAATATTGAAGTTCTGATTCTGCATGACAGAATAATGAAACACTGAGAACAAGCTCTACTGCAGTGATTTTCCCCCCACAGAAAGTTAGCAGTGAAAATTTGAAAGTGAAATAGCTTTTATTTATACTCCATAAAATATAATCATCCAAATAATTTGATGTCAAGATATATCACTTCTTCCATCATACTAAAGAAACAATTATGATGAATAGTTTACTTTTTTACAATGTTGCTAATTAACTCTTCTAATAATAATTGATTTTTTAAATTTATATTAGCAAGTATAAAATTTCAGATGAAAATCTTTAGACATGTTTGGGCTCTGTATGAAATCACACACAGAATATTGATGTATTAGGTATAATTGATTGGTGGATGGATTGATTAAGTACCATCAAATTGGTGTTAAATCTTAGCAACCAGATATGTTTCTGTACTTATAATTTCATGCACTTTTAAAGATAAACTAGAGGAGTAATAAGTCCCAAGTTGAGTCGTCAAGGTCTTCTGTTGGTTCCCAGAGTAAATATATAAGAAATAAATAGTAATTGTGTTTTAATTTTAATCCAATCTTTTCTTGTCTTGGACTTTGCTCTTTTGTTGCACTCAAATGTCTAGTTTGACATGTGGTTAAAAATTGTATAACAAAGGGAGGCAGTGTGTCTAAAATATGATTTAACATAAACAATATGGATAGCAAGTTCACAAATAAAAAACTCCAACAAGGAAATCAAAAAGGAAAATATCACAAGATTTTAAAATGAATATATATATATATATATATATATATATATATATATATATATATATATATATATATATATATATATGTTTTCTGAGGTTTTCGCGGGTATTTGTATGTAGGTCTTTGGTTGCTCGGGTTTTCTCCCGCGTAAAATTGGAAGTGTCTTGGCGACGTTTCGACGAAGTCCCATTCGTCATCTTCAGGCTGGTGTTTTCAGCTTCGTGCTTCGAGCAGCAATGTGTGGTCTTAGCTGTTTCTTCCTTTTAACTGCCAGTGGGGGTATGAACTGATTGGGTGGGAGCTTGGCTGTGTTCTGATTGGGTGGAGGTGTGTTCTGATTGGTTAGGGGCTTGGCTGTGCTCTGATTGGCTGGGGGGTTGGCTGTGCTCTGATTGGCTGGGGGGTTGGCTGTGCTCTGATTGGCTGGGGGAGTGTTCTGTTTGGTTGTGCTCAGGTTAGTCTGAGTTGCAGAGGGGTTTAAGATTTTGGGCTGCCTTGCTATTTTTTGGCTTCGCGTTTGTGGTCGTGCCTCATTTTCATGGAGGGTGTCAGTTTGCTTCATGTATGGATTGGAGGGCTTTAAAGTGGCTAATGATGCAGCTCTGGTCTGGCTTCTGGTTTGTGGTCGTGCCTCATCATCGGTGTGGCTTTGGGTTTGCTTTTTGCGTGGATGTGTGGTGGTGACATCCTGTGTGGTTTTTGTGAGTGTGGGTCTGGTATCATTTTTTGTATTAGGGAGTCGTTTGTCAATAAGGGCGGGTTTCCAAATGGCTGGTAGGCGGGAGGTATCATCTCGCTTGTTCATGCTGTGTGGGCGTTTTTCTATCTCGATGGCTTCTCTGATTATTCTGTTATTAAAATGTTCACTTTTGGCAATGGTTCTGGTATTTTTAAAGTCAATTTCATGTCCTGTGGCTTTAAGGTGTTGGACCAGGGAAGATGTTGGTTCCTCTTTTTTGACTGAGTTCTTATGTTCTTCAATGCGTGCACTTATTCTTCTGTTGGTTTGTCCGATGTATGTGGTGGGACAAGTGGTGCATGGGATTTCGTATACTCCTTGATTTTCTAATTCAATTTTATCTTTGGGGTTTCTAAGGATGGTGGATATTTTTCTGTTTGTGCAGAATGCTGTTTTGATGTTGTGTTTATGGAGGATCTTACTGATTCTGTCTGTGGTGCCTTTTATGTATGGGAGGAGGGCTTTGCCGTTTTCTTGTTCTTTGTCTTGGATTTTAGTGGGGGTTTCTTTTTGGATTAGGTTTGTAATCTTATTTCTTTGGAATCCATTGGATGTTAGTACATTGGTGAGATTGTGTAGTTCGGTTTTTAGGTGTTGTTCGTCAGCTAAGCGTTTTGTTCTGGAGATGAGTGTCTTGGCTACAGAGTTGATCTGTGCTGGGTGGTGGTGTGAGAGAGCGTGCAGATAGCGGTTTGTGTGTGTTTTCTTCTGGTAGATGGTGTGTCCTAGGGAGCCATTGGATTTCTTGTAGACTAAGACATCCAGGAAGGGAAGTTGGTTGTTAGCTTCTGTTTCCATGGTGAACTGTATTTTGGGGTGTAGGCTGTTGAGGTGTGTGAGGAAGTTGTCCAGTTTTTCTTTCCCATGTGGCCAGATTATGAAGGTGTCGTCTACGTATCTGAGCCAGAGTTTGGGTTTGTGATCCGATTTTTCTAGAGCTTGGGTTT